AAGGGAATACTTCAAATGTCCAGTATTAAGCATGATTGTTCGCAGTAGGTTTCAGACTAAAATACTTTGTATGAATGTGAGCTAACAAAAGAGAGGTATTTAATGAAAGGATACCTGAAGTTCACAGAGTCAAAGGAAAAACTGAACAAGTTTTATAGCTTTCAGCATCAGGAACCTGCGGATCTTCCAAATGCCTTCCTTATCCTTGGTCCTCTTTTCAAGATTCAAATTCCTGAGAGAGAATCTAATGAGCTGACCTGGATTACATGGCCACTCCAGTGGTCAAAGGACAGACTATCATCAAAACTCTATGTTATTAGAGTGGCCATCCAAGGTACAACAATTGATCTCCACTCACTTGAAACAACAGAGGAAGAAGTAGAGTCAGGAATTGGAGGAGGATATTGAATGTGTGTCTTGGTGCCACCATAAACAACTTCCTCCTTTGCCATTTAGACCAGAAGATCTGGATGGTGCCTGGCTACCATTACTGAATGTTTTGAGCAAAGATTCTATAGAAGAATCCTGATTAAAATGGAGGGAAATGTGGAACGAATTTCAAATTCTCAATGGAATCCAGACTTTCTGGAGCCACTGAGGCTGCATGAACCCCCTGGGACTATTGCCTGAGATAATCTTTAAACTTTAAACCTTACACCAAAACTATCCCCTGAAGACTTCTTTGAACCAAAAGACTAGCTTATCTTAATTAGGAAAGTATATCGGCTTTGAGCATTGTGCTCTTTTGAAGAATTATCTGTATTGGATCAAATTGGCAGTGGCAACTCAAAAGATTGGATAGGAAGCTTAGGAGGCAGTGAGTTTAAGATAATGGTGGTAGAATAATTTGGAAAAGGATATTGAGAATGGCAGCACAACTTAAAGAATGTAATCAATGTCACTTGATTGTACATGTAGACATTGCTGAAATAGTTTATCTTTAGCTGTGGATACTTTCACCAAAATAAAGAAAGGAAAAAAAAAAAAAGTCAAGAGGACCTATTGGTTCAAGATACAAGTATATTATTTGTTGATTCTACCTAATCCACTTAGTAAAGTCTCATCTTTCTAGGCTGGTACCCATTCTTTGCCTTCCTCCTAGAAGAAAATTCCCCCTAATTGGTCAGTTTAGCTAAAAAATATTTCCCCTTTGAATGCTGTGCCTAATTAAGACAAATTCAACTGGTCCCACAATGCCTAGACTGGCAACTGTCTCTCCTAAAGCTCTCTTCTCTCTCATGGGTCAGTGTTATTTAGTCCACCATGCATGCTGTTACCATTGTGTACTAACGACCTGAATGTAGTTAGGATACATGTTTTATGCTCAAAAATGTGACATTCCCCCTAAGGTTACATAAGTAGTAGACACATCTAGAAATAATTTAGTCTGAGTTTGCCATAAGGCTTCCTGTGATGGTTAATGTTATATGTCAACTTGGCTAGGCCATGATTCTCAGTGGTTTGGAAGACATTATGTAATCGTCCTCCATTTTGTGATCTGATGTGAGCAGTCAATCAGTTGGAAGAGGAGTTTCATTAGGGGTGTGGCCTGCATCCAATATATATATAGATGTTCTGGCAAAGCTCGCTTTCTCAGAATCCTGCATCCTACTTGTCATCCTCTGATTGCTGGTTCTTGGGATGTGAGCCTGGCATCTGACCTGCAGATTTGGGGTTTGTCAGCCCCTACAACCATGTGAGTCAGAAGAAGCCTCCAGCCTACTCCCTGACCCAGAGATTTGTGACTTGCCAGCCTCTACAATTGTGTGAGCCATTTCCTTGAAATAAATCTCTCTGTATATATTTATATGTACACTTCACCAGTTTTGCTCCTCTAGAGAACCCAGTCTAAGACACTTCCCATTTCTCATCTCATGGTGGGGCTGATTCCCAAGGAAATTTGAACACACCATGTTATGCTTACTGCTTTATTCCTATTGGAAAACCATTGTTCTTTTCCATTGTATTTAATAGCTTTCCATCCACAAAAAAATAGGGTGATATGTGTTTATACTCAGCACATTTTGGTATGTCAGGCATGCAGCTACTATATTTTGTCCATTATAACCAGGGTTAAAAACAAACAAACAAACAAACTCTATGCTATCAGAAGAGTTTCCCAAAGGAAACGGGGTGCTTTTAGCAGAAGGATAAAGAAATGTCATCAAATAAAACCAAAAACAACTAGACCTCTAGGAGATAGCTCAGCTAGTCTGGTTAACCTTAAGGTTGACCTTGATGTTCATTTTAATCTGAAATACAAATATAGGGAGCTGGGAGAAGAGAAAGTGTACAATTGGATTACCTGCCTCCTAGCCTAGAATGCCTGAGCCTCTTGCATTTCTTTGTAACTGGGGATGAAATAAAAAAGTGGGAATCTGAAGGTTCACCCCCACCAAGGTGATGTTTGTTGTTGTGCTAACTTTGTTGATCTCATTTTAACAGCATGAACTCCTCCTCAAATTTGACATACGAAAATGGTCACATCTCATTTGTTTGCAGTTAATGGCTAAAGCCCTACTACCAAAAGAGCAGGAAGTTCTATGATCTCCCATCTAAGGCTGGGCTCCTATTGAACTGTCCTAGAATCAGCACCAGGGCTGACATAATTCAAAAGGCAAGAGGGGAACACTGTCAGTCCAACTTCTACTCAGTCTACACCTGTGCTTCCTCCTCACAGACACACGGGGATACTGCTCATCAAGGTCATGCTTGATCTGAGTGCAGATGCCAATCCTCAGAGCCAGCAGAGACTGCAGCAGCCCCTCCACTCCCTTGGGATGACAACACATCTCAGTTCTCATGTCTCTAACGAGGATGGCTCCAGGACTGGTCCCAGCACTTGCCACTCCACAGTTTCCCGGCCCTCTCCAGGGCACCCACACCACCCAGAGGCCTGGTCAATTTTCCTTAGATGCCCTCATAACACACAAGACCTGAACACTCCTTGTCCTGGTCAGTGGGGCTGCCTGCCCACCTTGTGAGGCTCAGTGATTCCAGAGGGCCTGAACCTGCCTTTCTTAGGATGACTCATTTTCCGTGACACAAAGATGGTTCAAGGACACCCCTTAAGTGATTCTCACCAGATAGCAGCAGCAGATTTGCTCTCTCTGGAGACATTCTAGTTCTGGCAGAAATGCCCTCAGCACTTTTCCCACTGCCCCCAGGATGTCCTGGGCTGACAAGAGGAGGTGGCCCATTCCCAGCCTGGGAGCACAGGGGTTGAGGACATTGCCCAGCGAGGCCACATTCCCACCTCTGAAAACAGCAATAGCAGACAGACACATGGACGCTGCGCCCTGAGACAAGGAGGGGTCACACGTGTAACATAAGTCTAAGAGGGAAAGCCCCAGCAACGAACAGGAGCTACAAAATTTGTCAGGAACACCATCGATGGACACAGAGGACACCTTCCTTCTGCTCTGTTGCTTGAATCGGGCCATCCTAGCGCATCAGACATCAAGGTGTCCAGTCTGAGGAGGTACCTTGGGGAGGCCACAAGGGCAAGCGGGCTTCCAGAAGAAGTGGCATAAACCAGAAAGTGCTGGAAAAGAGACAATTACCCCAAACACCTTCCCAACCTGGGACTTTTCCAAGAATTCAAGGGATGTCCTTGGCCTTTGTAACCCGATGGGGGGTTGGGTCCTCCCGATGCGACCCCTTGAGTCAGTTGAGAGAAAGCAGACTTCACTGCAAGCCAGTCAAGCACGGAGCTCAGAGACTAAGCCTCAAATCAAGCTCCCCGAGGTTGCGGATTCTAGGGCAGTTATAGGGTTCAGGATAGGCACCTTATGCATGATTCATAAAGTTTCTGGGAATAGGCAGGCAGTTTCGGAAACTGATTAACATGTATGGGAGTGCAGTAGGGGGCATGTATAATGCATGAAGTTTATCGAAGGATAGCTTTACAGCTTATTGCTCATGTCCAATGCAAGAGGGGCAGTTGGTGAGTAGTGAAGAGGGCTTCAGCACAGAATCAGTAAGATGACCTTGGGCTGTAACACAGAAATGCCTTATCAGGATCTCAGAGCCTGGGTGTGATGGGAGGAAGAGGGGCAATAGTTTAACCCTGTTGGTTACATTTCACGAGGTGAACAATTTAACCCTGTCTGTTACACCTTTAACCACTTCCTGCTTGTCCTCCTCCTCACCTTTCCCTCTTTCCTTCCCCTTCTTTTTAATGAAAACTTTTTCTTTTGAGATAATTGTAGATTCATATGCAGTTCTAAGAAACAATATAAAGATCCCATGTATCCTTCACCCATTTTCCCCAATGATAACATCTTGCAAAACTACAGTAGAATATTACAGCCCAGGTATTGACATTGTCACAGTCAAGCAGAGAACACCTCCATCACTACAAGGATCCCAGCTGTTGCCCCTTCATAGCCACGCTCACCTCCCTCCCTCACCCTGGGCAAAGACTAATCCTTTAACTGGCTATACTCGGGTCATATCAAGCATGTTGTACCAATGAGCTCACACAACTATGTAACCTGGAGTTGTCCTCCTCCTCTTCCCCCTCATAATTCTCTAGAGATTCATGCAGGTTGTGCGTGACATTTTATTGCTGCATGGTTTCCATACGCCTGCATTCTGCTTAGGGGAAGGTGGGGGTGGGCAAAGGGAAGGAGGGTGCCCCCAGCCCTCAGCCTCCAGCTCCCCAGCC